ATGGAGGCTCACTCTAGTTTCTACAACAACCACTAAAATAAATATAAAATAGTTCTAAGAGGAGGAGGAAGCAGGAATATCAGTTGAAAAGCTATGTAACTAAAATGAAATACTAAGTATTATACAATTAACTAAAAGGAAAGGAAAAAAAAAAAAACATCCTAAAGTTTGGCACATTCGCAAATTATATTCCCCTTATCTTGGGGCCTGCAAGATGGCTTGTTGGGTAAAGGCAATCAGTCACTATCAGTCCTAACAACCTGAGTTCAATTCCCTGAAAACTACATGGTGGAAGGAAACGACTCCTGGAATTCGTCCTTTGACCCCTACAAGCTCACTGTAGCACAAATGTACCCACACTGATACACACACACACATACACACACACACACACACACACGCACAAATAAACATAAATAAGTGAAAAGGAAATAAACAGACTTCCCTCCTCACAAATACCTTTAGGTGAAGTGTAAGGCAAAACAATAGATCTAACTACAACAATAAACATATTGAATATAAATGGACTTTTTTTTTATTACCGCCTCTTGTGGCAAAAGCATTTTATACAAATAAAGTCACCCAGTTTATTTTGGACACAAAAACAATACAACGTGGAGTGAGGATCTTGAGTGAACTGGGAAAGAAAAAGGGCAGATCAGGTCATTTGTGTTTCTTATATTCTGTGAAAAATACATTTACAGGGAAAAATAGACTTTTACAACTTCAATGACCTCACATGAGCCTTTGTAAAACAAGATCCATCTCTACCAGATCCCTCTGTGGTTAAGATGTTCTATACATGGAATTTAACATGATGTTCAATGATGAGGTAGTGGCAGCACCTCCCTCAGCAAGGTCCTGTAGGCACAGGCAAGGAGTCTGTGCTGTAGTCTTCAGGACTGTGCCCATTCTTAAACCTCACTGTGTACCAGAAGAAAGTGACTCTATAGAGAAAAAAAAAAAAAGTACTCCAGGAGCCTCACAGGAATAATAGGGAATACCAAGGCAGGACGCAGCCTGTCTGCACATTAGACAGATAAATGGGCTTTTTAAAAACTCTTTCAAAAACTAGTTAGAACTAATAAGTTAACACACAAAGGTTACAAATATACAAGATAAATGTATTTACCAAATCTTACTACAAAATATAACTCTAATCACATTTACAGGAGTATTTTATACTTTTTAATATTTTTTCTTTGTCTTTTTGAGACAGGGTCTCCCCTAGCTCCAGCTGTCCTGGAACTCACTATGTAGACCAGGCTGGCCTTGAACTCACAAAGATCCGCCTGCCTCTGCCATCTGAGTGCTGGGATTAAAGGCATGCGCCACCACGCCTGGCTTATAATTTTTAATATTCTTAAAAACTATAAAATATTCAGGAAAATTTTGCAGAAAAATATAAAACCCTTGAAAGCCAGTCTCAGGGGCTCAGTGATAAAGCACACATGTAGCCTGTAGTAGGCCCTGGGTTCAATTCCCAGTACTGAAAAATATAAGACCCATATACTAAAAAAAAAAAATCACAAAAGTATGCTAAAAAAGCTCCAGATCAGAAAGCAAAATATCAACATGAAAATTCTTTCCAAATTAATTTACAGGTTCAGTATAATCATAATTAAAAACACTTTAGATTTTAGTAAAAATTTAAAAGTTGACAAAATTTGCATAAAAAATAAAGACTTGAATAATCAAAATAATCACAGAAAAATGTGGAAGAGTCATATTCCTTAATCTCAAGAATTACTATAGAAGAATACTATAACATCATCAAGAAAGTATAATATTTGTACAAGAATGCACAAAAAGTGAATGGAAAATACCTAGAATCCAAAATTAAAGCTAAACATATTAAAAGAAACTTTTTTTAAATCTAAAATGACAACAAAATTATCTATGAAAAAGATTTGTCAACTTTATATTAAAAGAAACTTTTTTTTAATCTAAAATGACAACAAAATTATCTATGAAAAAGATTTGTCAGCAAATGGTACTAAAACATTTGGCATGCTGGTAGGCAGCAATTAAATAACTAATATGTTATAAATTACCAACATAAATTCCTAACACATACATAAGAAATGATTTGAAGTACAACAGAACGTGTGTGTGTGTGTGTGTAAAATATACAAACAATATACAATGAAATTTATTTGGTTTCTAAGAACAAGTTTAGGATAATAATATCACATTTATAAGATTAAAAATTGCTTAGAGAAGACCCTTAAGATATGAAAATAAGACTTCACTGAAGTTTAAAAGATCTTATCAAAAGAGATTACTAAAAGAAGAAACCAAAGTCACAGTCCATAGGAAAGTATCTTCAATAAAGGTGGAACATCTTTAATGCCAAAATCTGAAATTTGAAGTGCCTCAAAACACTTCCATTCTCAAAACCTCAAAACAGGGATACTCATCATGTATTATGTATCTGACAAAGAATTCAGAGGCAGAGTACACGATGCATATCTCTACAGCAGTTAAAAGGTACATCTCTAGTGGAAAAAGTGGGCACCCAACAAAAAGAGATGAAATGAATTCTGATTGCACAAACAGATGCTCACTACATTAAATCATGGAAATGTTAGTTACAAAGGAATACCCAGGTTAATATTTAAAGACTGGCAATGCTAGATGCTATTCTACAGAGAAACAAGAAAGGTCAAACATTATTAGTAAAAATATAAAACTGTAACAGAACACTGGAAGATAACTTAGTAATAATTTTTAAATTAATTATAATAAAAAACCTATTTAAAATTTACTGCCTTAAACACTTTTAGGTGTGCACCAGAGTAGCGTAAACTGTAAGAACGTTGCTATTTAGTACATTCTGGAATTTTTCATCTTATGAAACTGACCCTCAATGACTATTCAAC